AATTCAGCTAATACTACCTTTCCAGCTATCTGAGACAAACACAAAGCACACAGCCTCAGCCAGCAGCTACGTAAACAGCCAGAAATACAAGATGCTTAAATGAAAGCTCCCTTGGCCTCTGTTATTATATTTTTAATGAAAGCATATAGAAGACCAGACAGTTTTGAAGAAAATGAGGATGAATGGTGACTGCGTCAAAGTGGCGAAGGGGTGGTAAAGATCTGTTCTTTCCCTCTACCCACCCACCCATCCACCTATCCGTCCGTCCATCCATCCATCTATCCGTCCGTCCATCCATCTACCTACCTACCTATCTCTATCTATTAATCTACATTTAGCTATGTCTATCTCCCTATCTATGTACCACCTACTTGTGTATCTCTTTCCCCACCTACCTACTTACCTATTTACCTACCTACTTATCCCTGTGTATGTATCTCTCTACCTTTCAAGGCCCACCTGGCAGGGCTATGCAGGTGCTATGGAATGGCCAGTATATTAGAATTCTCACTTCTTGTTTCCCCACAAGAGACTCACCACCTCTTCTTGCCAGACCTGCTAAATACAGAGAGAATCCTGAATCTGTATTTTTTTTTTACAAGGAGAGATTTGTATCACAATTCATGCCCGATAGCTCTATCAGCGTAGGTGTTAGAGAGAAGGGAGGGAGGCATGTAGCCTGGAGTCCCCGAGACAGCTGGAGAGACTGTGGGTCTGGGAGGTGGCAGCCCCAGGGCCAGTTGCTCCAGTCGGGAGTCGCCTGCTGCTTCTGCCCCTCTGCCTCCCATGCTGTGCTGCTGTGGAGCTTGTCCACTTTTTTTTGTTTGTTCTTTACCAAGATCTCCTGCCTTTTGAATAAGAAGCAGAAGAAAACTTCAGCCCATAAAGCAACACTCTGAGTCAGAAGGATGTTTTGCTTGGCAGTCACTTACCAGACCCTAACCAGACACAACCAATGGGCATGCCAGGTCACCAGCCCCCAACTATTCAATCACAAAGCTACCAGCCAGCACTTTGAGGAGTGGAGTAGTGGGATTTTCCATCTGAAAGCATTTACATTTTCAAGTACAATATACCCACTGTAGCAAAGCTACTCAAATTATAATCAGGGCTTTCAGAGCAATACCTCATCTTTTAAAAACAAAAACAAAAAACTTCTAGAAGATGCAGTCCAAAACAATCATCGATTTAAGAATACATATCACTGTCCTGACAGAAGTCATTAATTCAGGCATCTAAAACCATAAAGTAAAAGCCTGACACACAACAGGGAATTATACAGTCTCAGATTAGCTCCCCAGAGAGCACTCACTCACTCCAAAGGGGCAACTGGGATGTCTCGGAAGAAACCTGGCAGGTACCGCCTTCACCAAATGGTCAAATCAGTATCACCACTCGTGAGACAAAGGGACATCAGGTGCCTCCTGCTGTAGTGCCCAACAGAGAAGAGGAGAAACAAGGACTCCCCAAGCAACCAAGCTACATTGACGAACAATGTCAAGGTCATAACAGATGCAGAAACCCACTCAGACTAAACTTGACTTTCAAAAGAGACACGGCATGTAAACAACAGGCATGCTTCCCACACTGGCTCCAAAAAGTGCTCTAAGAGACCCAATGGTGACAATTAGAGAAATGGGAATCTGAACCGTATCTTAAGAACAGTCATTGGTAAATATTCAATATTTGGTATGTAAGCTATGATTCTATAAGAGAATAGCCTTGTCCTTAGGAAACACATGCTGGTGTATTTTCAGGTGAAGTTCATGATGTCAACAACTTGCTCTTAGATGTGTTAGCAATAATAATTAGTAGAGTGTGTGTGTGTGTGTGTATAGCAGACAGGAAATGGTGTGCAAAAGCCGACACTGGTGAGTCTAAGTGAAAGTTATACAGAAGTTCATTGCGGGCTGGTGCTGTGGTGTACTGGGTAAAGCTGCCACCTGCCATGCCGGCTTCCCAATGGGCGCCGGTCCAAGTTCTGGCTGCTCCACTTCAGATCCAGCTCTCTGCTATGGTCTGAGAAAGCAGAGAAATATGGCCCAAGTCCTTGGGTCCCTGCACCTGCATGGGAGACCCGGAAGAAGTTCTTGGCTCCTGGCTTTGGATCGGTGAAGCTCCAGCCATTGCAGCCATTTGGGGAGTGAACCAGTGGATGGAAGACCTCTCTTTCTCTCTGTAACTCTGCCTTTCAAATAAATAAATAAATAAATCTTAAAAAAAAATTTCATCCAGGGGTTGGTGCTATGGCACAGTGGGTTAACGCCCTGGCCTGAAGGGCCGGTATCCCATATGGGTGCTGGTTAAAGACCTGGCTGCTCAACTTCCTATCCAGCTCTCTGCTATGGCTGGGGAAAGCAGTAGAAGATGGCCCAAGTCCTTGGGCCCCTGCACCCACATGGGAGACCTGGAAGAAGCTCCTGGCTTCAGATCAGCACAGCTCCAGCCATTGTGGCCAACTGGGGAGTGAACCAGTGGATGGAAGACCTCTCTCTCTCTGCCTCTTCTCTCTCTGTGTAACTCTGACTTTCAAATAAATAAATCTTTAAAAAAAATTCATCACACAATTCTTGCAATTTTATTTTTAAAAGTTTTCCAAAGAATAAATAAAACAAATCTTTATTTATTTATTTGAGAGTCAGAGTTACACAAAAAAAAAGAGAGTGAGAGACAGAGAGAGAGGTATTCCCTCTGCTAGTTCACTCCCCAAATGGCCACAACAGCCAGAGCTGAACCGATCTGAATCCAGGAACCAGGAGCTTCTTCTGGGTCTCCCACATGGTTGGAGGGACCCAAGCACTCAGCTGTCTCCCGCTGCTTTCCCAGGCCATTAGCAGAGAGCTGGATCAGAAATGGATCAGACAGGACTTGAACCCCAATGCACATATCAGATAAAAGCGCCACAGGCAGAGGCTTAAACTACTACACCACAGCACTGGCAACCCAATAAAATAAATCTTAAAAAAAAAATGTTTTTAATGGGGCTGGTATTGTGGTACAGTGGGTTCAGCTGCAATGCTATACTCCTATATCAGTACCACTTCCAGTCTTGGCTGCTCCATTTCTCATCTGGCTCTCTGCTAATGTGACTGGGAAAGCGCAGCAAATGGCCCAAGTACTTGGGTCCCTGTCACTCATGTGGGAGACCCTAATGGAGCTTGTGGCTCCTGGCTTTGTGGCCCAGTCTGGGCATTCGGGCCATTTAGGGAGTGAACCTGCAGATGGAAAATTCTCTCTCTCTCCCTCTCTCCTCTCTTTATCTCTGTTTTTCAAATAAAGAAGTGTTTTTTAAAATATTTTAAGAGTATTTTCCAAAGATAGGTTTTGTCTTAAAAAAGACTATTAAGGTTTTTAAAGAATACCATATTTTTTAGATCTTTTTTCTTACAAAGAATATCACTGTTTTCAAAACCATTCATAGGGAAATAAAAAACAAAATGTTCCAAACTTTCAAATTGTTTGGAAATATAGATATCTGAACATTTAGAAGTAAAAAAGCAAAACAGCAGTTTTACAAATGGAGAGCTTGGGTTTGTTAACAGTGTGCATGTATGCATGTGCGTGTGTGTGTATGTTGAAATTTTCTGTTCACCTCGGCAGAAGCCATCAGTCCACTGGCCACAAGAGTCCACCACATCGTCCTAAGTAATGTGCATACACAGGGAAGAATGACTACCCACAACTGCAGGGAAGAAGCGCCCCCCAGCCTAACTGAGGCTCGCACGGATTTGGTGAGCCACTTCCTCCTAGGAGTAAGGGCAAGCATTTCTTGTTTCCTGAAGGCTTCGCAGAATCTGAGAAGACACCTGAGTTCTCAGCCTGAGGCACGCTCCCTGCAGGAGGAACTCGTCCGTCCGGAGAAACCACAGCCCACTCACTTGGTGCTTTCCGACCACCACAGAACCTCTGAGTTCAAGGTCAGCATCAGCTGCACTCCTGTATTTACTTCACCCTCCACGCTGTGTGCCTCTAACATGGATCTAAACATCCTCTAACCTGGAGCTGGCAACGGCCTTGGCTTTCCTTGGCTCACAGACCCCTGCGTTCCTCAGTCTCTCTCTGGCGAAGCAGCCTCCACTCCCTGGAGCCGCTTCCTGTGCCTGCGGCGCACACACACACACACACACATGGACGGATTAGCAGAGCCTGCTGTAAAGCACACACACACGCTCTCGCAATGTGTGCTCCTCATTCCAGAAATACCTCTTTCCTAAACCACTTCTCTGCCTCTCTTGGCACGAAACTCCGCCAGGGGCCCTGCGCCAGAGGAAGTGTCTGCTTAGAGACGTGGATTTTCTTTAAATTTCTTTACCTCAGACGATCGCAAATAGAACCTTCTAGCATGATTACAATGGGATAAAGTACAAAAGAGAAAGGTTATAGTGCCAAAATTTTTTTGTTTGTTTGTTTTGGGGGGGATGAGGGTTGCGTTAAAGAAGTACTGGAAATACCAGATAAGGCATAGAATTACCTCCCATGAGAGCACAAATTACAGGGTCTAAGTTTGGACAAGGAAGCAAAAAAGATTGCCTTACCAGGAAAGGCAGGGAGCATTTTCCATCTCTGGACACGTGCATTTATTCTTGTTTTAAAGTCACTGACCAAACTGTGGTGGGGGGGAGGGTTTCTGAATCGCTGCTTTACCCAGAAACACCCTTTATTTTTGTACGTTGCTTCTTTATGACTGTCATCCCATATCAACGATGAATGTAGAGGACACCCGACGCTGACCCACTTACCTGTCATCTGTCTTTCTCTGCATTCACTTCCAGCTATGTATTTGGGGGTCCCCTCCTACCTCACAGCGTGAAATCAGCAACGCTTCGCCAAATCCAGAGGCATTACCAACTGGACTATGAAACACCCCCTTTCTCATCCACACAGATCCATGCGCGCACACATCACACGTGGGACAATGACATCGCACACACCCCAGCACCTCCACACAGCATCCCCCACTGATTTCCACCGGGGTGCTGGACACGGGCAGGGAGACTCACTTTCGTTCCACTTCTGGGGTTGACACGGCACTGCTGAAGCCAAGCGACTCCTACGAGAGAAGATTCGTCGCGTCAGCGCAGGCAGAGCAACAGGCTTCATCGGGTTTGTACAGAATATCAGTTAAGGGGAAGAAAAAAAAAAGCAGAAGCAAAAATAGATGATGAAAGTTGCAGTGCTTACTTCGATCTGGGAGCGCAGCTGAAGTGACGTGGAGCTGGCATCGGGTTTCTCCTAAAACAGAACAGATGCTGCTTTACTGACACTCCAAAACGTGGCACACGCCAGAAAGACAAACAGACACGAAAGGAGGACTTGGGACCGCTAGGCTGGATAGGGAGAGGGAGGGGACGACAGACATACAGAGAGATCTTTCTGGAAAAAGGAGAGAGAGCTCTGGCCTTTCAAAACTAAACCGTTTTTCAAACTTTATTTTATTGCCTAAAATTATATTTAAATGAAGGGTACTGACAGTTCATGGTAAAATGATTTTCTGGACATAGTTAGCCCATCATTAAGACACTGAATTTCCAGCAACCCATTTAAGTTTGGTTTATTTTTCAATAACAATGGAGTTCCAATTTGATTTTACAGTTCTAAAGGTACTCAGAGTACTTACTAATCAAAGTCCAGTTGTCAGTGTCTTTAGGCAGTTGCAAAGCTAACTGGATATAATCTTGCAACCCTAAAAATCGCCATATTGAACGATCACTATATTCCTAAAGTTGTACTTACAAAATTTGTACTCATTAAGTAAACAGTTTCTTTGAGGGAAAAAAAAATGAACTGACCCATCTGAAAACTTGAAAACAAAAACTCTCAATATCTACTTGATAAATGAAATATAAATGCATGATATTATTATTACACTGAAAAATCATTAAATCATAAAGGAGAAGCAGAGGAATCATAACTCTAGAGACAAAACCAAGTAACACCCTCACTTCTATTTTACAGTTAAGGATGTCGTATACTCTTCAAAAGAAAAAGGGACAAACCTGTTTACCTATTAAGATGGTAGGATGCAGAAAAATAAGCTTTGGCAACAAAATATGAAAACAACACCATGAAAGTTTTGGATATTACTATGGGAAAAGAAGAGTCTTCTTAGTAAACAAAGCACAGTGCACCACGCTGACCTTTTTTGTAAGTGGAGAATATTTCTGAATCTAAACAGATACAATCGAAGTCTCCATCCAAGTGTAGCCCCAGGTTAGGGGTGATCCCTTGACAGTCAAGTTGCAAGCCAGACGGGCAGTTTTAGAGGGAACAGTAAATCATTAGTGTAACACAAGTCTGAAACATCAGGCTATGATTTCTCTAATAGTCCTGTTGTGGCATTATTTGTTTTATATTCTCCAGGACTACATGTGCACTGTATGAAGACTGTTTTGTTTGCTTTAGCTAACATTTGGGAAAGAAACGTATCATATCAAATTATACATGATCACATGCATCTAACTGTCAATTGTTTTCTATTTTTTAGATTTAGTTACTAGAGAGACACAGAGACAGAGAGCACCCGTCCACTTGTTCACTCCCCAGTGGCCAGGACAGGAGCTGGGAGCACAATCCGATAGCCCGTGTGAGTGGTCGGAACCTACAGTAACGTGCGCCATCGTCACTGCCTTCCAAGCTGTGCACTGGCAGGAGCTGGAGTCAGGAGCCGGAGGCAGGAATTGAACCCAGGCCCTCGGATGCAGGACACAGGTATCCTAACCACTAGGCTCAATGTCTTCTGCCTGTTCGCTACACCTCTCTCATCATTCACACAGTGACAAGGCTAGACCAACGCAGAGCTTCTTGCTGAAGTCCCAAGATAGCAATGAAACAGTAAAATGCACGTAACTCAGGGCAAACAGAAGCCCAGGACCAACCGCATGAGAATGAATGGGCATTCATGCAGAACTGTGGTGAGGATCTGCTACTCAACACCATGCGTGCACTGGACGGCCAGAACGCAGGCCTGGAAACTGTCGGGCAAGCAAATTCTATGCTTTATGTTTTCTGGCCACAAGAAAAACAGTGAGTGTGCGCCTTGAGTAAATCTGAGAACCGGAGGACTGTGGACAAGCCGTCAGAAAGGGAAAAGGGTTTTAATGGACTGGAACTCATCCCCGAGCCCAGGCCTTTGTTATAAAAAGGTGGCAGAGTGGCAGGAAGCCCCAGCACACTTCTCTCATTAACACCCTCCCGGCTTTCACTGCTGCCATGGTTCACAATGGACAAATTTGTATTTCTGTGCCAAACCTGATACACAAAACAGTGCGTGGAAAACGTCTAAGTTACATTCCAAGTCCAGATGGTAGCATGTCAGACTCCACGTGCAGGCCATAAAGAGCACACGTGACTCACATCCATCCTGCGTGGGGGCCTCACCTTCTTAAATCACAGGGAGAAATTTACAAATGTAAACAGCAGGAGGCACAGAGGGAAATTTACAAATGTAAACAGCAGGAGGCAGGGTTTCCGATTTTTTTTTTTTAATCCTGTCTCCATGTTTAGGAATTAGTACGGAGACCTCAGAATGACCATGAATCTCTCCTTTCACATGTTCTCTCAAACTGCCCCTTTAACACCAAACACCTACCCCTTCCTTCCACAACCATTAACAAAAACAACTGATTCAACCCGATCCCCTCCTTCACTGATCTCTGCTCTCCGTCACCAGGTCACGGTCCATGATAGGAAACTGTCTTATTGTAGATATTCACCCATTTCCCTACCTCTTTCTATCATTGTATCTGTTGAGCGCAACATTTGTCAAGTCATATCCTAAACCTGACATCCACAGTATACTACGCAAAATGTACCTCTTCCAAGAGGCCGGCGTTGTGGTGCAGCGAGGTAAAGCCAGTCAGTGTGTGTGCCACCAGCACCTGATCTCAGAGTGCCCGTTCCAGTCCTGGCTCCACTTCCAATCCAGCTCCCTGTTAATGTGCCTGGGAAGGCAGCAGAAGACAATCCAAGTGCTTGGGTCTCTGCCCCCCATGTTGAAACCAGGATGGAGTTGGTGGCTCCTGGTTTCAGCCTGTCCCAGGTCTGAATGTTGTGACCATTTGGGGAGTGAGCCAGCAGATGGAAGACTTGTCTCTGTCTTCGTCTCTCTCTCTCCAGCCCCTTCACCTCCACCTGTGCTTGTGTGTGTCTCCCTCTTTCTCTATCATTCCGCCTTTCAAAGAAATAAATCTTTTTAAGATACCTGGTCTTGCAAACAAAGCAGTTGCATTAGCCATAATAAATGTTTGGTAATCATCAAGGAACATTTCAAACGCTTCATTTTAGTATGTTACTTGGGTACTTCTAATAGGCATTTGGCTATATATTGCCTACTTTTTAGGAATTTGCTGGCGATGAGATTTGCTATATAAAGAATTAAAATAGGCTTTGCTAAAATAATGAAGCCAGGTAATATTTTCATGCAGATGGTTCATTCTATCAGAAACAGCTTATTGATGCTAAGCAAGAGACCTCATACTGTGATATTTGTAGGATTTTTTTTTCAGAATGTACAACAAAAATAATTTAAGGGTAGCTCTTATTAATTAGAACCTTAAGCAAAGAGACTACAGTTATGATTTAAGAGACATTTCTTAATTACATCTTAAAGTAAAAATATTACATAACTGAGGAGAAGTTTATAAAATCTACTAAATTTAGGATCTGATGCTCAGAGACAAAATATAGAATACAAAGAATAAGTAAGGAGCCAGCACTGTGGCGCAGCAGGTAAAGCCACCGCCCGCAGTGCCGGCATCCCACATGGCGCCGGATCAAGTCCTGGCTGCTCCACTTCCTATCCAGCTCTCTGCTGTGGCCTGGGAAAACACCAGAAGTTGGCCCAAGTCCCTGGGCCCCTGCACCCACATGGGAGACCTGGAAAAAGTTCCTGGCTCCTGGCTTCAGGTCAGCACAGCTTTGGCTATTGCAGCCATTTGAGGAGTGAACCAGCAAATGAAAGACACCTCCCTCCCTCCCTCCCTCCCTCCCTCCCTCCCTCCCTCCCTCTCTCTCTCTCTTTAACTGCCTTTCAAGTAAATAAATAAATCTCCCAAAAATTATTTTTAAAAAAGAGTAGGTACAATTCATTATGACATTGATGAGTGTCACAAAATACTGAAGACAAAATTTTAGAGGAGTCTTTATCATGTGTATGTGGATACTATGAAATATTTAAGGTGCACAAATACATAATTACAGCAAATGCTTGTGGATCCATGGCTGAGCCTGAGAAATGCAACAACACATACAGAGTTGAAGCTCGCAGATGGTCTGATCTACGCTTGGATAAAACTTTTTGCAGAATACGAAATAAGTCGTAGTAGGTGTGTGTACAAATATAAGGAAGAAGGGCTGCATGGCAGTTTGTTCTGTTTATCATTGAAAAAATAATTTTTCTCGAAGCACAGTGTGGAATAAGGCAGGGCGGGAGAAGCGGACAGGAGGAGCAGCGAGGTGTGCAGCCACACAGGATGTGGCTGACAAACACAGCAGCTGGGATTCTGGCTTGAGAGGCTCCCTCAACATGGCCCAGCTCTGTCCAGTCTCCGAGCTGGCTGCCCTCCGCTCTGCCCCACTTTCACCCAGTGTGATGGAGGCAAAGGGGTGGGTTCTGGAAGTCCAGCTGAACGGAGGGGAAGGCAGATGTGCCCAGCCACGCAACTGCTATATTCAGAGAACACATGACGGCCCCCCCACGGAGCTCCCGATTCGGAGGTCATCACGCTGATGGATGCAGTAAAACTTCCGAAGGCCATCAGAACACGCCGTCGCTGAGTACACACAGGCCTTTGCATGTGTCATGGAAGAAGTTATCACTGCAAACCTTCCTTCCCTCCCTCACTACCACATACTGATTGTCTCAGCTAGTGCTGCCGTGTAACAAAGCATCACAAAGACCAGAGGTTCAGAAAGGGGTCGGCAGAGAAGCCATCTGAGGAATGAACTAGCAGATGGAAGATCTCTTCCTCTCCCTCCCTCTCGCTCTTTGTAACTGTCTTTCAAATATATAAAAACAAAAGAGATGTTGAAACTGATGAATAATGTTTCATAATTCACATTTTTCATGAATTGTTCTATAGATTCGTCATATGCATGGATTTTAATTTTTTACACCAAAATAACCATAATTTAATTCTATTTTACATGGACTTTGTGAAGTACCCTTGCATCTTTAAGTTAGGGTATTAACACTTAGTTGAAAAAACATTCAATAAAATTTTGAAAAGAAAGGT